GGGAACGTACTCGCGTACGCGGTGTTCCGGAGTATGGGGGAAGCGACCAGCGGGCAGGGATGCGGGGCGAGGGGGTGACTTTCCCCCGACCAGCAGCCAGCGCCTCGCCGCCGCAGCCCCCATTTCCAATCCTAAAGAGCCCCCCCACCCCCTCACCTTTACTAGGCCCTTTCATCTCTGTCACGGCGAATGGCGGGCCTGCCTGCTCCTCCGGCCGTAGGGCTCCGTGGAATGGTAATGGCGGTCCAGCGGAGGCTGTGGTTGAGGCGCATGTAACAGACACCTCTCCATCGACGCCAAAAACGTGCCTTTCTTGGCTCAGATACTTTCGGTACCTTCTTTCTTCCTCCTAGTTCACCTGGACTTGGGTATTCATCGAGTTTCTGCTGTCGTCGTTGAGCCGCCACGCTTTTCTGGCTCTGCGTAAAAAATTGAAACAACGTTATCAAACTTTACTTGCACCGCTTAACTATGTTTTTCTTAGGAGGAAATTTAGAGAGAGGAAAAATGATGACCACATGTATCACCTGTGCATTTTTTGTATTCTGCTGCTCTTCGCCTCCTTCCCCGTCGTTCCCCGTCTTATCATCGTTTCTCTTTTTAGCTCCCCCTTTATTTTCTGGACCACTTATGTCCGCGGCTACCCTTCTCCGGCTGTGACCTACAATACTTAGTAAAAGTTCTCTCAACTAAAAAGTGAGTCAACTAATTTAATCTGATTAGACGACATTGTACTTCAGTGGTTTTGAACGAGGAATTTTAACAATTACTCACCTTGAAGACCTTGGCGCGTTGTTTTTTTTTCTTGTGCAGTACACGAAACTCTACAAAGATCACGGCAGCCTGCAGGACGCAACAGTACACTGTGTGTCTCAGTGACGCGTCGGCTTGTGATATCGCAAGCATCGCACCTTATATTGGATGGCACGACGCAGAGGGGGTCGTATTCCCGCTCTCGCTTTTATGGTGCAGTTTATAGTGAGCTACTTGAGCACCGTCGTGCCCACACCTTGTGACCCAGTGGCGCCGCGCCTCCGGGGGCCGGCGTTGAAGAGAGGGATGGGGGGGGGGGTCCTCCGGGAGGGTGCAGTAGCAGTAGTAGGACCCGCTGGGGCCCGCTCGGGACGGCAGCGGCACACAGAGCAAGAGAAATGTCCAGATTATTCAGCGCTGCGTGCTTTCACTATCGGCCCCAGCATCTCCCCTCCGGGGCTGCCTGCAACACAAGCGACAAAGAAATTGGAGGCGCAGACGCGAACATTTTTGCTTTCCGTTTTTGAAATAAATAAAAATAACACCGTCAAAACCACACCCCGTCCATTTCCCTCCCCGCCAAGCCCCACCACGCCCCCGCAGCACTGCGCAGCAAAGGGGCGGAGGTTTGGGCGCCCTCCGCCTTGGGAGGTGCTTGGTGGGGGAGGGGGAGGGGATTTGGCCCGAGGGGTAGGAGGGAAAGGAGGGGGTGGGGGAGAGAGAATATATTGAGCTAAGTCCGGCATAAATATTGGCTTCTGGTAGCGCGCCATAGGACGGGGGATGCGCGCCCCCCGGGCGCAAGGGCCCTGCCGTCGGAGGGAGAGAGCAAAGGGAAGGAGAGAGAGAGAGAGCAAAGGGAAGGAGAGAGAGAGAGCAAAGGGAAAGAGAGAGGGGGTGAGAGATAACGCCACAGGAAATAGCCCGCCTCCACGCATCCTATATACCCCCTTTGTCATCCCCTCCTCTTCCCCTTCTTATTCATTCACCCCCCCCCC